TCAATTTCAAAAATAATTTGGAACAGCAAAAATAATTTGCAATAGAACGGTGAGGTTTGAAGGCCACTGCTTGCAAAATGGGGAGTTTTTTGAATATGCTTGAAAGCACGGGCCTGGATGACACGGTTACAGGGCCTCTAAGCGCGGGGTTGGTGGTACTATAGCAACTTAAAAGTGCGCTACAAGTGAGCTGATGCCTTCGTTTGACCACTCCCCTTCCCTATCCATAGCATCATACCCAGCGTCTACGCATCCTCGTGTACCACGTGCTCTCTCGCTTTTCCCTCTCTTCGCAGCGCTGTTTCTCTACGTCGTACCACGGTCGACGTCAACAAAATTCAGTGTTTTCTGAATGCTTTATGCTTTTCCCCTCTCACGCTCCTCTTGACACTTCTTATCTATTTTTCGAACACACCGACTGAACATGACCCGTAACATTAATCACGTTGCCGTACATTTTCACACTCGTCCTAGAATTTTGACCATGCCCAGAGAATCGACCATGTCCACTTGATGAAATGTGATTTTAAGAGTCCTTTCCAGTTTTGTCTTGCGGACCTATGCGAGAGCGAATTTTGAGGAGGGAAAGAAACAGTGTAGCAGTTACTCGTATCAAATTAGCGTCTATAGTGTTAATTAATATTTAGGATTCCTGATTCCAATACTTTATATTGGATCGAATTTGTATTTTCCATAGATTTTTCAGCCTCGGACGAAACCCTTCGATTGTACACTGACCTGCTGGCCAACTACGAGAAAGATGTTCGCCCTGCCTTGCAGCACGACATGCCGATTAATGTCACCTTCGTTTTCATGCTCACACAAATCATTGACGTGGTCAGTAGGTTATCAATATTTGTTCGTAATTTCGATGAATCAGAATGTTTGATGCAAATGACCAACGGGAATTCCGTACAAGCAATAATAGACCCTCCCATAAACTCGTCCGAAAGAGGAGTGCCGCTTGGTGAATTGATTGGCTAGTTGGCGCGCAGCAAGGCAACCTGTATTGATCAATTAGAAGTTTTCACACTGCTGGCGCCCTCGCAACCACGATCAACTTGAGTCTGGGATAGAATCCTAGGTGCTATCTTAGTTAGGACGGACCACGCGGCGGCGTGGCGTTCTGTTCGTCTGCTCCCCTAAGGCTTATTACCCGGGCAATTACTATTAACTTTCAAAATATGCGCCATCGGGGATAAGCTTTGGAGGAACAAACGAACAGAAGCCACACATCCTTCGCGTGGTCCCCCCACCACCCTATGCTAGCGCCGAATCCCATAGGCACGATGATGTAAATCCATCTCCATCAATCAAAGTCGGGATTCATTTTGAGCTTTCCAATCGATTACCGGTTCATACGAATCCCAACGGTTCAAATGGATTTTTTTTTCCAAATTTTTTCTGAAAAAACGTGTTCAGGACGAACGTAATCAAATCCTCACCACAAACGCCTGGTTGCATCAATCTTGGACCGACTACAAATTGGTTTGGGATCCACGGAAATACGGCAATCTCACTAGGATCCACATTCCGCACGAGAGGATCTGGCGACCCGACGTTGTGCTCTACAACAAGTAGGTTTTGGTTGTCGCACAGCCACCCATTTAACCAGTTTTGTTCTCTACAGAACAACGAAATAACATTTTTTTCATACTTTTCTACTGTTAGAAAAAATCATTCTCTCGCGTTCGATTACTTCGCGAAAATGAAGTCTTTTCTTGGGGAAAAGTACGCCATGAGCCTGCTTTCCATTGTTGCGATTGTGATGTGTCATAATACGTCTCTAGTATGCATACGATGTCAATCAGTGCCCCTTCAAATGACAAAAAATGCAATCACGATTTCGCGGTGTTGGCATGGCTAGTCAGCAGGCGCAACGTCGCAGGCCGCGCCGCCGGTACATATGCCCGCGTTCTGCGAAAATACAGTCTTTCGAGGCGCTTTCAATCAGCATGGGGAAAGTGGAGGCGCAGACACAGCAAGACAGCACACCCCTGGATGAGTATAAAGGACGCATCAGGCGAATCAGCTTTCGTAGCGAGCGAAATGAGCGCGGCACGAAGCGCGTGCGATAAGGTTTTTATCAAAGAAATGCGTTTACTAAGAAGGACTGCTTCCAAACGTTCCGTTCGCTACTCTGCAACATAAACTCAAGAGATACACCCACTTACAAAGAAAGTCCAATTACAGCTTAGTTGATGAGAAGAAAACATCACCTCGACCCTTGTAACGCTCTTTGACAAGTGCTCCCTGGCAGCCATCCTTTTGACTGATTAAGGGCATAGCCACCAGAGACCGCATGTACTCGCTCTACATATGTCAATCACGTCACGTACTGCCAAAGGGTGAGCACAAAGAGGGATCACATGGCAAGGGAAGGAACCTCTGCGTCACGTTTATGGAGGGTAACATCCATTTGAGAGCATTTCTTCAAGTTCTAGCCCTTTTATCAGGTCTTGATATGGTTTTCGTTCCCGTGCAAAGAAGAATTGATTCTACGATAGTATCAAAAGCCAAAGAAGGGAACCCTTCTTATGGTTAGTGGGAAAGACAGCCGGACCCCACTAAGGGTGCGGAACGACACGTGTTTCTCGGCGAAGGATATGGCCCCGAGATCTAGCATGGCCATCTCCGCTGCCCGTCCACGTCCCTCGCCGTTAGGCTGTGTCCTATCTAGGGCGGCGTAAAGAAGAGGAGAGAGCCTTAGCGTTCATGTGAGCGCCGAACGGAAATGCCTAGCGTGAAAATCAAGGGCAAAAGGGGTCTCAAGAGGTTCTGGGCCGTTCACATGTGTTTTTTCTGCAACCCTGTACTACAGTGCGTTTCATAACTATAAGGTCACCCTAAAATATTGCATTTCCGGGACCAACAGCCAACTGGTGATTTTTCCACTATCACCAAATGATTCCCCACTACGAATAACCCCTGTATCGCAATTTTGGTGGGAGCAGCTTTTCTTCGAACTTTTTTGTAATTATTTTTCGATTTTTGCACCGTTTCATAATATAAGGTCACCCTGTGAAAATGAATACTACATTATCGGAAACAACCAACCTGCCTGTGAAATTGAATGTTTGTTACAAACACACCCAGTAGCTAAATTTATGGAATGTTTCGTACTCGCCTTTTGAAGAAAAGGTAAAGTTTATGCATTTCATGGTGCTTGGCACGGTTCGCGAGTCTTTCCAAAGAACTTCGGACAGTCATTAGCACTGCTCATGGATAATTGAAAAGCTCCTACGTCTCCAGATATTCTACAATATCAGAACATCCACAAAATGGTTTCTATAAATGATTAGAGAAGAGTTATGAGGGCTGTCCCGTGCAGTATTTCCGCTTCAAATCGGCGTCGTGCCTGATTTAAGGTTTCTATCTTGAAAAATATGAACTGGAGTGCGGTGAAATTATGCAACAACATTACCAGGAAAGCAACAAAGATGGTCCGAAGGCTCAGTGGCCATTGCAAAGTGGCACAACTTCAACCCGTAAAGTTGAACTTGAAGAGAGTTTGAACAAGGTTGAGTCTGCTCCACAGTCGCACCATATAGCAAGATAATTCCAGTAAAGTTGGTATTTTTTGGACAAAACTGGTTATACAAACAGATCCTGCGAATATAAACACTTTTGAAGTGACTTGCGAAGGTGGCCGATTCACTTCAGCGCTTGCAATTTTAGTTAAGGAAATGTGAAAGGTGTGGGTGCTTTTTGTGATGATGTTGTGTCAAAATTTCGCTTCCATAAACTGCATAATGGACTCCAAAGATTAGCATAGAGCCTTGCGAGGACATTTGACCTCTTCCTTGAGCTGAAGTCGGCTAGCCGCGAACGCATCGTTTTGTACTCCTTCTGACTAGTAAAGGACGCCATTCGTTACGGGTCCCACTGCCTCCTGCTACAGTGAACCCTTCAATGTGGAGCGGGGAATCCGTGAGCCAGGGGCAGTGTCGCCAGTCTAGGGGGGTGGGGGGTGAGGGCAGACACTTGACATGCGTGAGAAGCTGGAATGTTCGAATTCAACCGCGATCACATGGGATCCCCGCGGGTTAAGGCAGTGGGTCCCGCAACGAATGGCGCCCTATACTAGTCAGTAGGAGTACAAAATGATCACTCCGCTAGCCTACGTGGTCATACAGAACAGTACAGGTACCCATGTAGGTCATTCAACCAGAAGCAGCATTTCTCTCGAAACCCTGATGAACTGAACAAATTTTTCTGAATTTCTAGTCGTGTTCTAGTAGAACATCTCAGGGGCATCTTCGTCATGAGTAATAAGTGCGAAAAAAAAAAAAAAAAAAAAAAAAAAAAAAAAAAAAAAAAAAAAAAAAAAAAAAAAAAAAAAAAAAAAAAAAAAAAAAAAAAAAAAAAAAAAAAAAAAAAAAAAAAAAAAAAAAAAAAAAAAAAAAAAGTTAAAAGATTACACAAGAGCGTGTACAAGCAACCCTTGAACACGGAAGTGAATCGATGGTGATCTGCCTTGGAATCTCAATTCCGGTAGGCCACGGAGACTATTCAATGTTGCCCTTGATAAAGGAGGAACCATACATTATTATGTCTATTTTATCTGTCATTAATCTTAGGTAATTGTTCTTT